GGKKGSYSGGTTAGGGTAGAAGAAGAAGAAGTTGTTATTTAAAACAGGTGATGATTTTACATGAGTCTTAAGTGAAAAAGGAAATATGTAAATTCGCGTTTCTACATTGGACTCTTATGTTCTTCCTGTAACTCAAGTTGATAAGTGAAAGCTTTTCGGAAAAACATCGTTATACCAGTTTGTGGCTATAGTACTCTTAGAATTGCTAAATACAAATTTAATCAACAAATTATTTTTTCAACATGATCACTTTCCACTCGATTGGGTTGAGAAAAAGATATTGCCATAACAGAAGAACATGGAAGCAAGACAATAACAATTTTTTAAGAAAAATTGATCCTGCTAATGTGTTTCTCGCTATAAATATTATTATTATATTGGTCCAGATGTTAAGTTCAAACCGCCKATCAACTCAGTGTAGAGTTGCTACCGTTCGGTGGAAGATATGTATAGCTTAATTTCTCGCAAGAGCAAGACAAAAACTGAACCCGCCTGCCAGAAAAACAACTAAAATTAAAAAAGTGAAAACTAGCAGTAAACTAGTGTGAGCTGCGTCGGTGTTTCTAAAGAAACAGTTATGTAAAAAAGATAAATTTAACACCGTAAAAAGTAGGTGAAATAACTTACTACTAAAATTAAAAAAGCTGAGATACAGATTTTTTAAGCTCATTACAAGATTTTATTTTTATGAKAATTGTCCGCAATAGTTGTGCACACTAACATTTCAAATAAAAATGACTTTAAAATGACCTGCTTGTCACATTGGACTACAGAATTGTCAGAAGAAACACCTGCAAGTTAAGACATTGAATCGCGGCAGAATTAGACTCTAAAAATCCATACATCACTTTAAGAAGACTGAGGAATTCCTATTCATTCAACCCGGACATTCTCAGCACAGCACAGAATACTTATTTAAGAACAATTATATTACAATGATTTGAACCACATCACATAAAAGGGAATTACTATAACGTCATAACTCCCGCAATGTTTTAATTAAATGGACCAAAGAAGCCTTGTCTTGTACACCGATGACTATACTCAAATCTCATACGAATATCAACGCGAAACTGTGGATAACAGAAAAGACTGCTTTGGTGGTAAAAAAGCGTCAAACACCCATAGYGATCTCACTTTTATTACAGAAGTAGGGAGTGTTGAAAGCGGCRACATACGACATTTTCTAGAGAGCCCCAAGTGGCCTTCAAACTTATTCAAGTACAGATTCTTGGCGAAGTGAGACAGATTGTGAGAGGAACAATTATATTTGTAATTGTGCCACGTCTGTTAACTGTTCTCCGTATTCCAGAGTTCGACAGGAGGTTCAAAATTAATAGGAGATGTTTCGGTGATCAATTAAAGTCATTTAAGCGTCAAATGAAAATGAAATAGAACAATAGCAAAAGGAGTAAATTGTTCCCACTGAAAAGATCCATGAACGAGTCTACTCTTCGCTCAGTTGAAGATTGCAAACAGTATCTCGAATATTATCCAAGATCTGTTGACAAAATGAACTCAGAATGGCAAGTATTAATATCAAAATCGACTTGTTTCATAAGATAGACGCCGATTAAAGTTGATCGGRGCGTCAATCAAACAGCAATAATTAAATAGACAATTTTTATAGAGATTTTGTGGAACTACAAGTAACACTTTGAAGCGACCATGGAATGGAGAACTGCTCTTAATACAAGTAACAATTCATTCTCCCAAACATCACAAGAAGGATGTTTTTACTTCGAAGTCAACTTAAGCACCGAAAGCTACTGGGAAATTATACATACAATCACAGCTGCTATAAATAGTATATTTGCCATTTCTTCTGTTCTTGGTAATTCACTAATCCTTTATGTTATCTGGAAGAATCCTTCATTGCACAATCCATCCAATACTCTACTGGGCTGTTTGGCCTTCTCGGACTTTTTCGTGGGTTTTTTAGCACAACCAGCTTTTGTTGCGCACAAAATCGGCGAGCTAACATCGAACTTTCCACTATACTGTAAAACCAGAGTTGCAACCGAAACAGTTGGAATGATCACATCTGGCGTTTCAATCCTCACTCTAGCAGCAATAAGTATTGAAAGATATCTTGCTCTTAAGTTAAACTTACGCTACAAGGCACTTGTAACTATCTCAAGGATGCTTTATACTGTTGGTAGTTTTTGGGTGATAATGAGCTTAGTTACTGCGTTGAAAATTCTACCGAACATGAAGACGGCCTCGGACACGATCATATTTGCTATACTTGTGGCATCTTTTATTCTCATTCTAGTTTCTTATGCCAAGATTTTACGCTGCGTCATTCGACACCAGAACGCCATCAACTCCGAGCAAGTCTTCGTACAATCGGAAAGAAACATTGAGGATTTAAAAGATGAAAAAACAGAAAAAGTACAGCGCACTTTCAGCCTTCTTCGTTACAAGAAGTCAACAATTTCCATGGCTTACATCTTGGGGTTTTACCTCATTTTCTACATGCCGTTTATAGTGACTCTAGTTGCGAAAAAGTTCGTTGGCTACACAAGGGTAATCAAAGCGTCGTACGTTTGCACTTCGACTTTGGTTTTTCTGAATTCTTCAGTGAATCCAGTTATCTACTGTTGGAGGATGTCGGATATAAGGAGTGCTGCGAAAAAAACTTTGAGAAAACTTCGTTGTTCAAAAGCTCAAGAAATAGAGGTCGCGGCTAACGGAATCAYCGGAAGTGTTGCACCATATTCTGCTTTTAATCGCAACATCAGTGTTAATATCTCTATCATGTGACAGACGGACAACATGTCA